GGGGGGGGGGGGAGGGGGGCAGGGAAGACTATCCTCATCAAAAACTCCTTACACTGCTGAAACTGTCACAAAACTGTGCGCATCAGATGGTTATAAAACCAAGGAAAGTCTCTGCATTTCCCACTATTTCCAAATGTAAATGACTACTTCCCACCAGCTTTTAGGTCCCAGCCACAGTGAAAGAGTGCTTCCTTCTGCAGAACAGGAACACGGCAGGTGGAGACTTCTCCCTCATGTCCTCCTGTCTCACAGGCACCAAGCACCAGACCCAGGGAAGTAACCCTGTCTGCGTGTTCTGATTAATTGCATGATAGCAGTTTCTAACAGATTTCCTTATCGCTGATCACCTTTTCCGTGATTGGTAGGATAAGCTATGCACCAACATATAGACATGGAAATGCATTATTTTTACCACAGTTAAAAAAAACCAAAACCAAAAAACAACAACAAAAAATATGCAATCTTTGGAACAAAAGAATTAAAGGCAGAAATTTAAAGGAAAAAAAATACATATTCAAAGAACATAGTGAGGTATAAAAAAGTATTTTCTCTTTTGTTTTTTTGTTTTTCCTCCTCGTCTTGCTATAGAGTTCCTCTACTAGTAAATATTGCAATAGCCAGGCCTCATGAACTGGGGGGGCTGTCTCACTTGCAGGGGGCTCACGTCACTTCAGTAGGGGGCGAATCGGCTGTAGCCACCTCGGTATAAACTCGCCTGTAGAAATTAAATGAGAGAAGTTGTTAGGAGAACTGTGAAAAAACTACTCAGGACTGCACCCAAATGCTCTCAGAAGGACTAACAGCCATGTCTGCACCCTGACCCACGACCATCAGCACCTCCAAGAAGCAAGAGAGGAGAACCTTGCCTGCAAAACCAGAGACATGGCTCAGGAGGACATGTCCTGGTTCAGCCAGGATAAAGTTTTCCCCAGCAGAGAGAGGTGGAAGGGATCTCCAGCCGGGTTATTCATACCATGCTGACGTCAGGTCCAGGGGCGGAGCCTTTTAACCTTTCGCTTCTGGTGTTGGTTTTTGCCATACACGCGGCGGGTTTGCTCCTTGATCACTGAGCGGTATTTTCTCTGTATATCTTTTGTCTTGTTCACTGTTATGGCTGTTTATTGTTGTTACCATTGATACTGTTGTTATTCAGATTGTTCTATCACTCTGTTGTATTAAATTTCTTGTTATTTTAGCCGGGGTCTGTGTTTAACTTCCAGCCCAACTGGTGTGGGTGGGGGAGGGGCAACAGCCACGTGCTCTCTCATCCCGGCGAGAATTAAACCTTGCACACATGTTCATGGCCCGCCAGCTAGAAGCGAAGTTTGGCAAGTGTCAGTTGAAGAGAGTTCAGTACCACAGAGTGTACTCATGAGTCCTAATCTCTGAGCCAGCTGCCTAGGCTATCTGTAGATAGCAGAGACCAGGACTTCTAGGATGCTCTTCATCTCACTTTAAGGTAAAGGTCTAAAATAGACACAGGACCTGGTATCCTAGAAGTACCTGTGTTTTCTTCCTCAATCCTTAAGAGAATTCACATGATGAGCTGAGGCTCAGAGGTGTCACACTGCAGATATCTATATTTAGGTGTCTTTTTCTCTGAATACATTTGTATTCCAGACTTTGCAACAACACAGATACTGTGCTGGCTAGCAGATGGGCGAGCATGTGTTTTCAGCAAGCTGCTCCACTCCCCTCCAATGCCAGCATACCTCATTGCTGTCCTTGTGTAACTACTGCTGGCAGGCAAGACACCACATCCTTCCACTAGCAGAAGCGGGAACCAAGTGGATCAGCTTTGTTGCAAGATGCCACAAGGACAGCTTATTCCCTTGTCTCCTAGAACTGATTTCTCAACATGCAACATGAGCCTTCAAAGTCAATGAAATGGGCAAGAAAGGGTGTCTTGCATCTCTAACTATTGCTGATTTTTGCTTTATATATCACCTTGATACAGTTCTACTGATTCACCAACAATGTGTTCTGGCTCCTGTAATTTCGGGTCATTCTTTTATCATCTTCTTTGTACTAGGTGATGTGCAAGACCAAATAATAACCGGTCTACAGCCTGGCTCCTTTCCTAGTACACACACACAAACACATGAATAACTTGGAACCCAGCACTGCAGCCAAGGACCTCCTCCCTCAACAAAGTTTTTCTGGCTGAAGTTTCATTACCTGATACCCAGCATACAGCTGTTCCTCATGCTGGAAACGAGAAACAGCACAAGAAAGAAAATCCCACTTACCACAGCGCCAACTCCGTAGCTAGCGGCAGGGGCAAGGGCATGGTAAGGATCTGCTGTGTACACCCTGCCATAACTGAAGAGAGGGAGAAAAGATATAGAAACAAACAAACAAAAAAAGACAGTCACTTCAGAGGGGCACTAAACAGCTGTCTGACCACAGCCAATGGAAGCAGCATACATTCTAAACATATGTATGCATACATGCACACACATGCACACAGGCAGCCCCTCTCTAAAAAGAACCTATGGACATGCTGCCATGCATTGTTATGAGATGGGCAAGAGAATGGCCTGCAAGGAGGAATATGGCAGAAGCCATAAGCTCAACCTGTAGGAAAGAGGTCAGCACCTTTGAAATGACAGCTGGTGCATCCCTTACCTCGCGTGATGCAATTTGGGAGGAGAGTGACTGCTGGTGCTAGTGCTACTGGCACGGCAACAGCTACTAAATGGAAAGCAGTAAGGGATCCTCCAGAATGAGAAGGGAGTATAAACCTGGTATCGCACGTGCTAGGATTAAAACACGGCCTGCCTCACTGCACAGGAGATGAAAAAAATCTTAAGGCAAGCACTCTGATGATAACAATCCTTTACATCTGCACATTAAAGCATCCTAGAGTACTGTACGAGCTGAGCAATTTTTACTTTATGGATGGGGGAAAAGAAATGCACCCAGCAATTAAACCACCTGCCCAGAGATACAGAGCAAGGAGCTAGCAAGACAATCCAGGTTTCGGACTCTGAGGCCGTAACCACACTGCCATCCTTTGTGCAGAGAATCACGAGGATAGGGAAGAGGATAGGGAAGAGGCCAGGGTCTGTGTCGACTCGCATACACTGGAGGGCAATACTGCCTGGGAGCAGAGACAAACCGTGCAAACCATCTTTTATGTTGGGGTTGTGCATGCATGTGTGCACGTGCAAGTGTAAGACAAAAAAACAGGGCAAAAAGTACTGTAATGGATCAATGCTCCTTAAATCCCTGAGCAGAGCAAGCTAGCCCCCATGGACACCTCCCCCTTACATACCCATCGCTGTAAGCTGCTGCAGCGGCTGCAGCGGCCGTGGCTGCTGTTGCAGTAGCAGGCTGTGCATATCTGTAGGCTGCGTATCCACCCTGCAGGAGAGAAGAGAACTGACTTTACAGATACCTGTCCATCCACGCAGAGCATAAAAAATAAAATGAAAGAAAAATGTCACACACATCACAAGGAGAGGAAGTGTTTCAAACTGCATCAGCTCCCATGTCATGCCTATTACAAGCATCACCTGTTATAAATCATGTATATTCCCTTCCTCAGAAGGGCCAGGGAGACTCTTCTATTACCCCATTTAGCAGAAGGAATAAACTAAAAGTAGGCCTGAGCATGGTTATATCCCTGCAGAAAATTAAATCATGGAGGAACTTAAAACCCAAAGACTGCTGCAATCTTTCGTGCAATGTAGTTTTTATGTCCCCTTCCTCTCACACTTGAGGACATCAGAAGTGGGCACTTTCTGTAGAAAGAGGACCTTTTTAAGAGAAGGGGACCAATTCAGAGAAATTCTTGATCTTCACCCCTCTCTCTTTTTAAGCCTGGAAAGCCCAAAGACTATAATTTCATTTGGTCCAGATGCATAAAGTATCGATAGCTAGAGAAGCCAAAAAGCAGTCAGGAAAAGATGTCAGAAAAGACAATTCCTGGTGGTCTCAGGGCTGGCAACAAGCAAACTGACAGTGATACCAGCCAGATTGTTCTCCCTCCATGTAAGAAGGAAATAGGTCATGGGAAATTATGCCAGAACAGTCTGTACTGCCCACACTACACACCTGTAGTAAAGGTCTTTAGAACGCTTACACTCATGAGAAGTAGTTACTAAAAACATACTTATAGCTGGGTAGGCAAAATGTGACTCCTGACCCAGAGGAAGACCTGTAAGTCTCCTCCAGAATTCCCACAAGGAGCTCTTGAGGCAGAGGAAGACCTGGCTCAGACAGGTGGCTCTGCAGACCCTGCAGTACTGAAGGACGGAGGCCAACCATTTTTGGGCCCAGGTGCAAAGGCTGCATGGCAGGCAGCACAGGGGGCTCTGAAGCCCAGGTTACATCTGTCTTTATTGTACTCTTCCAAGCATGTTTTTCTCAACTTGGGGGGGGAAGGGCAATGATAAATTATCCATTGCTTTAATTTACTAGGAACACAATGAACCAGAAACAACATCAGAAAATTCCAAATGGCTTCTGGCTTTCCCACCCCCTTGCCCCGCCATTAACATTTCAGAGTTTGAAGAACCAGCAGGCAGACTTATGTTTCTTGACCTCCAGCACAAGCTCAGCATACCTCTACCACTTCTTCCCTAAAAATCTTCTGCATACATGTAACTAAAAGTACAAAATCAGATCTACTACATGAGTGTATGTTTGCTCAGCAGCACTCAAGAGTTTTGGGTTAGTTATCTTTTAAATTAGAAGTAATGACTCCAAATTAATTTTGGGTGCTTTTGTGGGGCCTGCATTATCTCCACTAAGGCTAACACGCTATCCAAAACATGTCTGGGAGACCATTTCCTACTCCAGAGGAGAGGGACTTAGTCTCTTCAATCTAGTTAACAGAAAAAAAAGCAACATAAATCTACACCTCTGAAACATCCCCACATTGCCTGAAACAGATGTTACACATTGTTACAGTTTAGCCCTTTTAATCCCATCTAGAACTTTCAATTCCTGTGTTTCAGATGATGGTTTGGGGAGGTTTAGCTTGGCTTCGGCATGCTATCATTGCACCACCATTACTCCTGCTTCCAAAACATGACAGACGAGAGGAATGAGGTGCTGCCTTAATCAAATCAAACCTCCATTGACCTCACCAAATTAAGACAAAACTTTGTAACAACGTCACTGTGGTATTCCCTTAAATTTATGAGTTTCCTGAACTCTTGATGGGGTCTGTCACTTGGGCATGGCATACAAGGCATTTTTGCTTGGCCCTTAACCTCTGCGGGGCAGCCAGCTTCAGCACCTAGATTCCCACTCTGTCCCACACCTGTCAGCCACATTTCAGATCAGAAGCCATTTCAAATGTGCCTGGCACATACTCTAAACATGACAGCAAGATGCAGTTTGAAACCAAAAAGGGTTATCATGTAATTCTCTTTTAACCAATGTCTCTTGTAAAAGAAAACAAACCAAAACCAAACCAAAACCAAACCAAAAAAAAAAAAAAAAAAAAAAGAAAAGAAGGGTTGGAATCAGGTGTGGGAGGGGGAATGGCGTAACATTTATTAATCAAAATTAAAAACTAAGCATGCTGACATCTGGAGCTAGAACAACCAGCAAAGTCACCACGTTCAGACTCATATTGGCTAGTTCTATCCATCCCAGCATTCTCTTGGGACAGCAGTTCGCCCTAGGCTCTACCACAAGCTCAGTGAAGTACACAGCCTCAAGTACTAGAGCGTGCAGCCACAACAACCTGCTATTACGGAAACAGTCAGTCACCACTGGAGTTAACATTCCAACCTCAATGACTCCCGGCAGCCTCCCACCCTCGCCCCCCAAAATGGCTCCCACCCTAGCCCTGTCCCACACCACAATGTTAATAATTATAACAAGCAATAACCCATCTGTTATATCAGAGAAGGGAACAGAGACTCCACTGAGAGATTTAGAGCGGGATGTTAACATTTCTTCAGTCAACTGCACAACAAACAAAAAAAAAACAGGAGAAATAATTCATTGGAGAAATGAAGTTAAGAAATAGCTGACATGTGTATTGCTTTTTAACCATGCACTGATGCAAAATTGAAGTTACTATTAATTTAAGAGGTACACACGCACAGGCAGACCCACTCTGTTCAAAGTGATCTGCAAATTCTACTTGTGTGTACTTCAAATAAAACCAAAAATGGGGATTATAATGGCCATGGTACGTTCCTGTCATAGGAGCAATGAGTGTGGACAGCTGGGGGATTTCTGACACAGGGATGTACTTAGCATGACCAGCAGGTCCAAATACACCAAAACAGGGTGAAGAAAAGAAAAGGAAAGTTGCGACTACTATTCATTGTTTCGTAAATGCTTTCACCAAGCTCTGGGACCAGTATAGAAAAAAACTTTTTTACTGTGCAGGTTGCCTTAACCAGTTGATGCTCCTAATCTCCATAACCCAGGACACCCCTATAATTCTATCAATGTGTCTAAAGCCCTGCTCAGTTTGTCCAATGCACCAGTTATTTTCTCCTGCTATTCCTGTTCCCACACAGCTTTAACTGGTATGCAGACCTCACCTGTCACCTCGGCTACATGGTCCTACCAACCCTAGTGACTTCTGATGCTACTCACTTCAGGTACTCTAGTAAATATAAACTATAACAGAGTAGAGCATGTTCAACAAACATGAACAATTGTGTTTCCCAATAAAAGAAGTAATAAAAAAAGGCCCTGGCTAGCTGCATCACACTTCTCCAGTGCCACAGCCAATCTGCAACAGAAGACAACACTGAGTGGCATAGTCCCTGAAACCCAGGACAGCCATGCAAACTCTCACTCCATCTATTTAAGTGAAGTGATTCTACAGGGACAGGTTTACCCATCTAGGTTCCGTTTTTAAGATCTTTAGTCTCACCTCAAAAGAAATGAGTGTGGCTGAGGTTCTTGTGACGATGTTAAGTCAGAGACATTTCTATCAAAGGGACAGTTTAAACACTGCCTCAACAAGGAAATAGGGAAACTAAGAAAAATGCTTATGCATTTTTACTAGGCAGTAATAACCAAAAGGACTGTCTGTACCAAGATTGGTCCTTTCTGGCACAGTCTTTTGGACTATCTGGGGAGCATACGAGAGAGACAAACACAACCCTAAATATTGCTTATCTTAATTCAAGCTCTCTTTCTGTGAATATCCCGCCAGTGTTGCTGCAGCTGTGCTAAACCCCTTTCCCCATGTGAATGTGTAGCACTTGAGCCTGTAGATCTCAACTGTCAAACAACAGTATTTGCTCAGGTATTCATAAAAGACTGAATTTAAAATGACTCTTCTGTGATGTTATTGTCCTTGGCTCATCAATGAAGCAAGAAAGTTATTTCTTTAAAATGCTTTCTTTACCATTAAATTATAGCTTTTTCAATATCGTAATGTATTCTCCAAAATAACATAAACATGGCAAAACAACATATACAAGAAGCTGCAATCCCAACTAAAGCAGCATTCCAATTACTGAACATGTTAACATAGATAAATGATCACTTTAAGACTACACAGTTCAGCTCAAAATAAGTCCATCTTCTCTTCCACTCTTCAGGTCCATATTAGGTGATCAATCCAATGAGAACATGAGGAAATCCAAAACCCCTTCTCTTTTTCCCTTGCTGCCTTGGATTGGCACACAAAGTGTGTTGCAGCCCCTCTTTACTCCGAAGAGCCTTTATGCCACTAAAACACGAGCGTTCCCATGCCCCTGGAGAAACGTGCAACTCATGGTACCAGTCAGATACATTTGACCACATGCAAGGTTTAGGCAGTGAGCACAATTTTAGGATGTTTTATTTGTCGTATCTCAAATATGTCTTCTCCACCTTCAAACTGCACTATAACAGAAGTTAAGAAGCAGAAAGGGCTAGAACCGTTTCCAGTATTTCTGTATTAGAAGGGTGGCATATGTGCACCAGGAATGAGCATGAATGAATTAAAAGAGATGACAGGACAACAGTGTCCATTGCAGCAGGTGCTTCTACATGGTAATGGGACAAGCATGACCTTGTTAACTCTTCCATTGAATTTACTTTTTTTTTTTTTTTTTTTTTTTTTTTTTTTAAATGAAATGCCACTTGATGTGAAATCTGGACACACGCCACCCTGCTACAGCAGGGGCTCGGATCACACGTGAGTCTGTGCTGCCCTAAAAAAAGCCTCTGTTCCCATCTCTAATGTGGTGCTGGAATGGTTAGTATAATTCAGTTTTTTCCACTGCAATCCACAATCTGATCGGTTGGCAGGTCACACTGGCACTCCTACCTGAGGTATTTTAGCGCTAATGATTGGTTCCTGTAAGACTATTCTATAACAGAACACAGGAAGAGCAGTTCAAAAAAACACAGCTGTGGAAAGAAACAATCATACAAACAGCCCACAGCGGGGCTCACCAGCCTTTTCTTTCCAGTGGATGCAAGCAAGCTTTTCACAGGCAGGAGTGGTCTTCGCACAGGTGGGTTTGTTTGGGTTTCCCCCCCGCCACCCAGATTGACCCCACTGTAGAAGAAAGATAACCTTTCTTATGATCCAAAATGTAGCCCTCTGCGTCCTGGGGCAGGTTGTTTTATGAATTCAGGTGTCTTGCCAGAGTGGGATGCATCCAACAAAAGATGGAATGCTTTCTTCACAGAAGAAGTGGCTAGCAGGATGGTTGCCCCAGGAAAGAAAAAAGGACTGAGGAAGAGGAGGAGGAGGAAAATGAGAAACCAATGCATAGCATTGATCAATGCAGAAAAAGCAGCCCAAACTTGGGACGCTTCCCCTTCATCTTGCCTGCCACTAACCACTCCTTGCCAGCTCAGCTTCCCACCCTTCCTTGACACAGCCCTACAGACTCAGAAGATGTAAGGGAACTGCAATTCAACTTTCCCCCCAGTCCTAATTGAAGTACCCTCTGCCATCCTTTCCACAATCTGGACAAGCCTTTCACAGCAACCTGAAGGATGGAAGCACGGCATGGAAAAGCACAACAAATCAGTAGGGCACAGTGGGATGTTATAATCATTCCAGCTGTGCCAAGCAAATTATTTGGAAAGACAACTTCATGTTTGGATTATGATCACTTTTTCCTGAGCTCCATTGGAGGGTTTTGGGCAGTGGTAACATAGGAAAAAGCACCATCATCTACTGGATGAGTCCCTTCTTCTCTCATCCTGCTGACAGTGAGACCATGGTCACCAAGAGCAACGTGCTCAGAAGTCTACCTAATGGTTCTAAGCTGTCTTGGGGGCTTGGTTTTGTGTTAGATGATGCTACTTCACTGTAGCACCAAGTGGTTAGGGGTATTCTTTATTACTAAAGTCCTCAAAACATGTTAAATAATCCTCTCCTACCCACCTGCAATAGAAGCTCTGAAGGAGCTTTCTCAAAAGGAATAGGGAGAAACCCTGGCTAGTCCTCCTTTCAGTACGACAGCCTCTTATATGCCAGACTCTGATGGAAGAGGCACAAAGCAATGCTCATTTGCTTCTTACTTGCTGTAGCAAAGCCAGTGGTCTGTAAAGCTGGTGTTTTAGGAATGAGGCGGGAAAACACAGAACACTCTGTAGTCCTTGACACAGTTTTATAAAGGAATACTTGACTAGGCAGATCAATTTTTAAAGGACTGCACACATGATAGTATATGTAAGAATGAAGAAATGCACCCAATATCTCTATGCTCAGAGAGCACATCTTCCAACTGCTGTAACTGTGCTGGGAAAAGCACCTTTATAAGACTTGACCCTCCATATAAATGAACAAAATCTAAAAGCTAATTCCATCCATTATCTGGAGTCTAACCCCAGGGACCTCTTCACAAAGAAGCACCTTCAAAAGAGCAGGGATGTGAAATCCATACCGACAACTGTGCCAGTACTCAACTACGAAACTTCTCCACTCCAAAGAGCTATTAGCTGTAACACCACAAAAGAGAATTCTGCTAAAACTAGGCAGGCCACAAGTTGTGATGGCAGTAGTGGACGTGAACATTTTGGCTTTGAAAGCCATATTCCGACCATAGCTGCTCTGCAACAGTTCTCCATCAGAGAGAAAACCACTTTTCTCACTGGCCAGTCAGAATCCCTCCACCCACAACCCACCTACATATACACAGATGCCTGGAGATTTGCAATATAGACTGGCTGGGTACGACAAAGACAATGACAGGACAAAGTCTCTCATGGTATCAGAGCTAATTCCCAGACAAGAGAAGGCTGCTGACTCTTCTCACCGAACATCTCTACATATTTGCACTTTACAATTCCCCAAAGAGGCAAGAGAATCTAGCCTATTTAAGTATCATTTCTACCAGCAAAATGAGACGTCAGTTTTCACTCTAGCATCTCAGTCTCCATTTTTAATCAGTCCCAGTGTCTTCCCCAAAGGGATAATCTCCACATCCCAGTGGCACATGAGCATTTTTAAACATACAGCTCGCTCAGTTTAGTGTGGGCTGCACAAATCAAACCTGAAAGGGCCCCAAGAGGAAAGAGAAAGGGGAGGGCAGAGGGGGAGAAGGAAAGGGAAGGTCTGAGGCTAAACCAGTCCTGTTATTTTTATATCCAAATTATGTAAATGAGAGAAGTATTGAGAGAAATTTTAATTTGCTAATCATCTCTCGGGTTGATTAGTATCAGTATGCATGTGGGGGACAGGACACCCAGTAAACTGACCCTGGCAATGATCAGGAAACCCAAAGGCTTAGATCTTGCACCCAGGGGCAAGCGCAGTGACAGAGAAGCATGCTTGCATTCCTAAATATATAAATATATATATATCCACAAGGAAGAATAAAATTAAAGTAAATGATATTTTTAAAAAACCAAACCAACCAAACAAACCAAAAGAAAAAAAAAAAAAAAGGCTGGCTTGTCAGGGGTTGGGGACGAGAAGGCTCTGGTGTGTGTACTTACATAGAGGTCAGCACCGTAAAATCCGTCCTGGTAAACCACACTGCAGAAAATCCACACAAAAACAAAAAAAAACAAAAAACAAAAAACAAAAGAACAGAAAACACATTCCGGTTATTGAGGACGGCAGCATGCACATGCATTTTACACAGGCAGGTGATGTATGAATCCACAACCTGGGCTTTTGGCAGGAGCAAATCAGCAAGAGAATGTGTGTGCGCACACACGCTAGACGGCTCCAAGTCATCTTCCATGGCATGCAAAGGAGGAAGGGGTGGGCAAAGGGGGAGACAGTATGCAAAGGAGAGAGGGAGGGGAACCACCATCTTGTACAATAAAAGTAGACTCAAAAAGAGCTGATGTCCTGAAGAAAAGAAACAAGTGTTTAGGAACCTCCACTCTGGATATTCTCCTGGAATTATTTTAGTTACCCCCTAAACACATGGAAACATTGGCTTCATGAAGTGGGTTTGTGAAATCGAGGAGCCCCTCAGAAGGCACCCCACAGGGGCTGGAGTCACCTATGTCAGAAGGACATTTCAGAAAGTTATGTATGATTACATATTTTGAGCTTCACAGGGCTGCATGACTGTTTCTGACATCCATACATCACCTGCTTTTACTCTGCACATTAGACATGCGATAAGATTTGGCTGATCACACAAGCATGCAAAGTATTATTATTCAGCATCTTAAAGAACCAATGCAACACCTCGGGAAAACAAGTCAATCAACTCTGATCAAAGTAAACACAGAGAAATGTAATTAAAAAGAAAAAACCAAAAATACCCACAATGCATTGCTTTCACAAGCAGAGATAATGAGCTAAAAAGGTTAGGTGACTGGTCCAAGGTCTGAGAATTGAGAGGTGAAGTGGGAGTCCCTGGTAGTAACGACCTATTCCGTAGCAGAGAGGAGCAACTGGAAGGATTTCCACGGGATGGCGCATTTTCTGCTTTAGGGCATAGTTTTCTTTCTCTCAGAACTTCAAGCAGGAAAACTGTTAAACCAGAACCTGGGGTTCCCAAAGAGCTGCTCTTACCAGAGTATTTGCTAGCGTAAAACTACGCAGCTCGCTTTGGGGACAGGGGTTGGGGAAGGATGAGGAAGGAAGAGAGGGGATGCCCCCACCCGTTTGAGTTCAGCGTGTGCTTCATACTGAGGAATTTCCTCCTGCTTTGTCCTCTGAATAGCTCCGCACAAACTCACTCAAAGCTTTAAAATGCATTAGACCCATCATCTCTGATGTTCATGGATCTGATGTGCATGACTTACCAGTAGCATTAAGGAAAAAGAATATATGGAACACTACTTTTCTTTTCATTATCAGTTTTTACTCATCAGATGGAATGTGACATGTTGCCAAGAGCCTGCCACCATGAGACACCCACCTAGTATAAAGCACGCACATACAAAAAAAGCCCAGCAGATCTTGCCAAAATTCTGCATGCTATTACTAAAAAATAAAATTAAAAAATAATTCTGTTGCAGTGTTAGCTACTGCTTGAATAATTTAGTCTTGCTGTCTTCCCCAGGAAAAGTACACTCCACTCCCAACAGACAAAGTTACTATGGTCTCCAAGAGCACTGGGAGCAAATATGTAGAGACCCTTGTTAGAGGAAGAGGGGAGCCACTTCAGCAGGGAGAAGCAGGCCATAAGATCATGTTTGTTGAAGCTAAATTTTTACAACCACATAACAAAGAATTTGGCTCCTGGGGCAGTGAACATTGCTGGGTTCTCTATCTAGGACCAGGAGTGTTTTGGCAGTGATATTCCACCTGCTCCTGCAGGAAAGGCAAACGCATGACAGAGGAAGTGACTGTTGGTCTATGAACAGGTTAGCAGTTTTAACAGTTACTCCGAGCACAATCAGTTGGATGAATATAAGCATTACCACATTGGATCAGGCCACTATTACTGTAACTTAGAATCCTGTCATCAAGAGATGATAGTATCAGCTCTCCAGAGAAAACTGCAAGGAACACTAGAAACAGGAAAGGCTAAGAATTCCTGGATCCAAACAACCAAGCACACGTGCATCCTCCATCTCTCCTTCATTTAGGACCTGACTAACAACAACTGTCAGGGCTGAAATTTAGAAGGATTATTTATATGCTAGAATATACATATTTATGATTCTTAATGCTAGCAAAACCTGAGAGAATTCATTTGAGAACCACAGAGACCATTCTGGTTATGTAGACTGACCAGAAGCATAAAGCAGCCCGGCAGCCCATCAAATCTCAGTGGCATCTACAAAAATCCCACTAGATGAGCTAAAACATCTGAATCAAAAAGAAATATGCTGGTTTTGTAAAGTACCCATCGTATCATTTAGGTGTACTGACAGTCGACTGTGTTGTAAAAGGAATCAAAAACCCACTCCAAACCCACAAAGCTCCCTACAGCCTTACATCTAGTCTGATTTTTATCTACTTCTGCTTCGAGTCATTGAACTCTCTCTATATTTACAATCCTAGACTAAATTATTCTTTACTATGGCAAGTCTGCTCTTCATACAGGTACTTAATGGCCATGAACAAGTCAATGCCTAAGCTATAGCTTGAGAAATAAAATTGATCAAGCTTACTTAGTTTTGAGAATTTTTCAGCAGGCAAGGTTTTTCAGCCTTAGTTCTTATAGCTTTTGGTCTGAAGTGTAATTTGTCAGCATTCTTGTTTAGAAAGCATGGCTGCTTTCAGAGCAATATTCCAGTACAGGTTTTACTCATGCTACATATCAGAGGTTATAATGTCTCTTCACTATTACTGAATGCCACTTTGGTTATAAATTGAAGGTTGCATTTGTATTCTGAGGTCAGGCTCAGGTGACTATCTGACATCCTCTCCAATGGTCTGAGCAATTGCTTTCTAAGGTATGAATAGCCTTCCCTGGATAAACATTCATGTCCATACGTAAGTAAGTACATTTTAGGTTGAGTTCTTGAAATAATGTTAAAACTATTAAGAATGACATGATTTCTTGCACCTTCCTCTGGAGTATCTAGCACTAGACACTGTCAAAACTTACTCTAACCTGAATGGCCCCCAGGTCTGATCCAGTATGGCAATTCCACTGACCTTTTATTACTCTGCATTCTGTATTTTTTAAATTCTGCTAAGCTCTCCAATGCAGTGATACCATTGTTTTGTAACTTAAACACCACTGAGGTTTGTGAAAACCAACTCCTTCTACCAGGTTTGAGTTAACCCGCAGCTTGCTTTACTGTCCTCCTCCACATTACGCACTATATCCTGACCACTAATGTGTTGCTGTTTGACCGTACAGTGTCATCTTTCCACTGGCCAGGAAGAGAGCAACTGATGCAGGGTAAGGCGTCAGGAATGTGTGCTGGCCTGTGACTCCATGGAAGTCAACTGTTCCACATGGAGCAGTGGCTGTCCTACAGGTTACTGCAACATGAAACTGAACAGCACATTTTTTATTATTCCACAAGGAATCAGATTCCCACTACAAAATATCCTGTAGAGATTCAAACTGATGACAATAACCACCTGAATTAGTTAATTACATCCTGGTGCTTGGGACTAGGGACAGTTCTGGGCTATCTGTGAACCTGACTGTTTACTGGATAGTACACTGCCCATGAAGAGGTGAAATCAATCAGCAGGGTCAGATAAACTCAATGTAATGTCAGTAAACACAGTCATGAGACAGTATTTGGAAGTTATCATCACTGAAGCCTGGCCCATATTCCAAATGGAAATTAACCTTTTATATGGGACTCAGGCTGGATTTATATCAAAGACAAGCCTAGAGTCCCTCCCAGTGCGCCAGTAGTGACAGCCTCTTGCTAGGAATGCTCTAGCTGTTACTCCCGGAGATGAGGGACACATTCCCCCCTCCCTGGTCCAAGTTACTTCATATTCTGCTAGACGGCAGCACTTAGCTCAGATTTGCTTCTGTGTTCCACTGTGAAGCACTTCCTAACAAAACCAGACTGGGTCATTTTTAGAGCAACATACAGGTAAGTTGCAGGTCAGAGGCTATGGTTAGAAGATACAGAATATGAACTAGGAGTGGTGGCAAAAAGAGATGGACCTGAAAACCCAGAAGAAACACTCTGTTTGGAAGGCCAATGTGTTCAGACAAGAGGTTTCATTTCAAGTCTTTCAGTGAATTAATTACAAACACTGCCACAGAGCAAAGCTAGATACATACATGACCACTGCAGCTTGCTGCTCTGAGCTCTAATTTAAATATCAGACTGGACTCTAAAAAGAAAGGGCCACAGTAGCTCTCAACTTTATCTGCTACAGAAGGTATCACAAACTTATCCAGCATATATCAGGCCAGCTTCTTACACTGATGTGTGTGGCTTCCACCTCCCTTTTTAATAAAAGATTTAGAATTTATTTTCTTCCCTGTTGGGGCTAGTCTAAAGGAAAAAGGGTCAGTCCACTTCTGTGTTGGAGGATTCGTTCCTACTCCCTATACTTTCTGAAAACATTCCCAGAAAATATAGGCAAGTAAAATTCCAGAGACAGGCAACATGAATAAAGCATCCTCAAAATCAGAAACAAAAAAAAGACAGTTTGGAAGGGATTTGCTGATTCATCTGTCATTCCATCACACTTAAACAAACAAAACTCCAAAACAAAACTCACATACAAACCTAGTTCCCTCTATTTTTAAACAGCAGAATACTCTTTTGTAACAGCAACTATTTCACTGCATTACTAGTGAAAAGTCAAGGGGCAAAGAATGCTAAGGCCACGCATTCACCATTGGTTCACAGAAGAAGTTAGAAGAATGCTGTACTTTCGTTCTCCCTGTATCCCAAACACTCCCAGCTTCAAATTAATGGACTTGATTAATCTTTGTTTTAAACCTTTTTAAACTGTCTCCAACAAAGAAAGCAAATCCATTGTGGGTAACTGGCTCTTCTGTGTCCTACTGCCAGATGGTGAGTCATGAAGGTAATGGATAATACTCCTCATTCCTGGATATGAAAATGCAAATGAAGTGCAAAGAACAGAACCTTTTCAGAAATTTTAGACCTCTCTTTGTGTCCTTCTCAGAAGCACTATAACATATTAGGTCAATGGATGATGAATACCTTTTGGACAAATTGAGAAATTATGAGAAGGAATCTGTCAGCACTTTACACTGTTGCAAGTACTGAAAATTGTTTCAGTCAAGTATTTAACACAGAAAAATTTAGATTTGCCCCCACTGGATGCCATCATGTGCAGAATGCTCTGTCACTAGCAATACCCTGACTCTCACCATCCAGACAATTTTAGTTATTTTTTGGTTAACCGATTATCTATTTGACGTGGCCGTGCAGAGCACTCTGCTCTTGTGACCAGTGCTTACCCTGGGTAGGCAGGGATGGCTGTGGGAGGTACCGCCCGGACTGCCCCATACACTGTCCTTCCTCGACCCCTCAGATGGGCTCCCCGAAACGCGGCTGCTGTAGTGGCTGCAGTTGGATAGGGGAAGCCTGGAACTGTAAAGACAGACAAGGTGGAGGGTGAAAAGGATCCAAGCTTCTGCCCAGAGAACAACCATCTGCTTCAAATGAAGTGACACAATAGCTCCACAGCGGTGGGACATTTTGCATCAGTCCTGCAGAGGGGCATGCTTACAATCCAGCAAGCATCCAATATGTACTTCCTGCTACACCATGGCCTTTGGGGGAAGAAGGGTTGCAAGGAGGTTTGGCATGCAAGAGGTTAATGCTTTGGCATGCCTCACCCACCACAAACAGGATACAAATCCCCCCACCGTCATGCAGTCTGGTTAGAGTCTGAGAAGCGCAGAGAGTTACTATCAATATAGCAGGCGGCTCTTCCAAAACTGCAGAGGCTCTTTAAAATAATTTGTCAAGAGGCCCTTAAAGTCAACCAACTTACATCAGTCTCTTCCCTCCTTTCCCCTCCCACTCTTTGCCACCCAATCCTCTGTATGTTCATTTTATAGCCTGAAAGACAAGATAGCCCATATAACAGCAGTAGCAATTTCCCATAGCGCCAGTTTACTGAGAGCCCACCTTCATTTAACAAGTGTGACCAATAACTGGCTCCACGAATAGTGGGGCCTGCTTTATTATGCTTTACCCTGGAGTAAACTGGCTCGTGATCAAATGATTGATGTAAAACCTCAGAGGCATCTGCCAACACGTAATAAACAGATACCGAGAGGGAAGGAGTCCCAGGGCACAAACCCAATCCACTGTGTGTCCAGGTGCATGCCACTAGGGGCCCTGAAGACTCACAGCTTAGCAGCTTGTATAATATGTACTTTAGGGATTTGTCTGTGTGGTTTCTTTGATTTCAAAATGGAGAGAGGGGCAAGGGAATGGCCTATTCCTCACACACACCCTCCCCTTGTTCTGCAGCCTCCTCATCACTCAGAAAGACCCATTTACCCATACAGAAACACACTGCAGATGAACAAGTTACAGCAACTGCACAGTATACTTTGGCTCAAGGCAAACTCGTTCCCAGCGAGACCCATCCTTTCAAGTATATATTATACAGACTGGAGAGAAGGGTAACAGGTCATCATTAACTCAAGCACAGTAACAATACGGGGGCCAACAGGGGCTACTTACTGATTAAAGGAATGTAAGTGTTAATACCCCCCCTTCCTGACAGGGGCACTGCGGCGTCATTGCCCAGCGAGACATCTGCTTGAAAGCTGGACGCTAATTTAATTTAAAAAAATAAAAAAACAAAAACGTAGAAAGGTTATAAAGAAACAGCAGATTGAGAACATAAACAAACACCACTGCAGTTAAATGGCAGAAGTAGAAGTGTCTACTTAAGCTCTACCTGCATATAACTCAGGGCCGTACACCGCTCCAACCACAGGACTCAACTTCCAACCTGAAACAACAAAGACTGCAGTGAATGCCAAAATCTACACCAAGAGAAGGAGCGGGCAGTGTGGGTAGGGGGAACAGCCTCTTGCATGCGTCCCAGCTTCACATGCACAGCTCTTTCCAATTTCTGCTTCGCCTCAACCCCCCTTGGTGTAGATGGAGGCCAACTGCCTTTTTCTAATGTCAAGTTCTAGGTACAGGTCGCTGTATCAGAGAGAACAAAACATCAGCTGATCCACAGCCTGGCAGAGGCACCGCTGAGGGAATGCCAACTACCTTATATGCATATTCACCACAAACACCATGCGACCTTGCCGTCCCTGCATGAACCCTGCTGCCAGCTCCTCCCTGCCTTCACAGGGAACACTGCAGATCCAAAACCTCTCTAAAGCCACTGGCCCAGACTGTCATCCAGGCAAGTCTATTTATAGCCTTAAATTCACAAAACACCCTTCTGTCTTATTTACTAGAGATCTGCTAAAAAACAACATCTGAATTTCCTCATTAACTGAATTACACGACTATGGTGCAGAAAAGCAAGTCTGTTCATCTCACATTTTCTCCTGTTATTTTAGTACTTCCTGTCTTCTTTATGGTGCTTTTCAGGTGAAAGCCTTCCCAGAGAACCGATTTTAATATCATCTGGATAACTGGCAAGAACTGCAAACCATCAGCATAAAACCTACAAGAGAATAGTGCTTAAAGAAGTCATCACTAGAGTATGAGGAAGAACACAATTCCAGTCAGATCTAGAAACCTATCTGTCTTCCCCCCTGACTTTTCTACCGGGGGAAAAAACAGGTGTAAATCTAACAAATCTTGCCTGGCAACCACAAAGCATTCCTTTCAGAAAAGATATCAGCTGTTCAGCTAGCAATTACACGTGTATTTTTATTTAAATAAATATATTACCCTTCCTCTGCCTTGGAGTCCTGAAACACTCTCTGCACTTTACCACCTCTAACCAGCCTAGAAACCACATGAACAACTTTGTGAACTGCAGCACATCAACACCAACCCTCCATCTGCTGGCAGAGTATCAATGAGAGATGCAATGCACACTCCCTCCACAACACTGGGCACACTGCTGCTGCTGCACTGCCCACCCTGACGGCAAAATACTCGAGTGGTGGCAATGAGAGAACTGAGATTCACCTTCAAGTTTAGTAACAGTTGTATGACCACTTGTCAGTATGCCTTAAGCCTGGCCTAATACTAAATACCTTGGCATAGCTTCAAAGCTGGCTTTAAATTGTTGGCTGCGAAAGCAAAATATTCGTGCCTGTTATCAGAGTTCCACAAATAAACCAAGTTTTGTTACCAAATAGTCATATGTACTTTCTACCCTTGTTTTCAGGAAAAAGTAACATGCCTGTGTTGCCTTTTGTTACAAAATCTCCTGGTTCCTTTCAAACACTGAGACTCAAAATCCCAGCCTTTCTGCCTGGCCTTGTTTCTCTAGATCTGTAACCAAAGTAAGATTTATTTACCGAGAGCCACATAAGTCAGTAGCAGAGCCACAAATAAAATCCGTATCTTCTGACTTCTGAGTCTTATGTTGCAACCAAAATGGATTCTCACACCAGCAACTACCTATATGCAGCTTCTTGCCTTGTTAAAGCCGCTTGGGAACATTTTCAGACCAAAAAACTTTTTTGCCTGTTTCAGGACAAAGACTCAGACTCAAAATCTTTATCAAAGTAGCATTCAGTTCCATTGGGAGAACAACTTTTTATGCTATATACGCCTACACAATAAAATTACTGCACAGACAGAACCACCAAGATATCCCGATTAAACAGGACTCTTCATTACGCAACTTGGTCTTTCTCTATTCAGGTTCAGTGGAAAATGACTGAACACAGGTACAGTCTGTAACAAAAAGCAAGTAAACAAGCATCATAATGCCTGTGTTTTGCCAGCTGCTTGGGAACAGCTGTACTTTTACAGTTAGAACCTAAACTGAGATACAGACAAAAATGTATTGCTATGCTTTTTATAGTTATGCTTTTATAGTTATGCATTTGCATCTGTATTTAGCTATCTACATGATGGCAATGAGACTCAGCAGTACTGCACATCCCATTGTACAGCATCAGCCTGCAGTAGTGGCAGGCCACCCATTAGTCCTTGGCTTCTTTAACCAGCTTGGCCATGTTGGACATATCACTACTCCTCCGTCCCCACTTCTCCATCTGTAAAATGGTATTCCTCCACAAATGCTTCAGGGTTATATGGAAGAATAATTAGGGGTTGTGGGTTTCTTTGGTCCTGAGGAGAGGTCATGACTTTTTCCTTATGTCTGTCTTCAAAACTTTCAGCTCATCATTAGTACAAACAGTCTCCCTTACCATTTGCATAAGGTGTGACCATCTTCTTATTGGTCATCACTCGTGCAGTGGCGTTGTTAACCTAAAAGTAAGAAAGGGGAGGGGGAGGAGAGGGAAGGAAGCATAGGACATTAGGGAAAATGGTGGAACACTCGGATACCACATACACACACTATACTTCTCTGAGCAAAAAAAATTAACTAATTTTACAAGAATGCAATCTTTAAATTACTTTTAACAGTTGCCATTTAATTATAAAAGTTACAGCTAAACATGGCACTTTAAAATTATGCATTAAACAAAAGGCCAATGAGAGTAAAGTGCAGATTCTCCACAGCTCTGCCACTCCCTGGTGCATGCTTATTTTCAGTAAAACTTTGTCCAGGTTCTGTTTGAGGCACCGGTAATTTCTCAGAGCAGGGAAACTGAACCAGGTGATGCACAAGGTGACTTGTTTCTCAAGCTCACCGTTGGGATTGGGGCCCAGCAGGTCGCTGGCAGGCATACTTTTTTGGATAGAAAAAGGTAGCCTGGAGTCCATCATCTTAAGATTTGAACTCCCGAGGTTTAAGGAGACTTCTGGAATGCCACTAAGTGTTTGGACAGTCTACATTCACTGATTTCCTCCCCATCATTTTCAAATCTTTTGCCAGATGATTTTTTCCTTATCACAAATCTCATGGAGCAAAACAGAAATACACAGCAGTAGACCTAGGTCTTTTCCTGGTTTTATTGTGCCCTCCACCCTCTTTACAGAGCTCTGCATAGTTCCAAGCAGTTTGATTGCTCAAGCAAGTGGGGTGTTACCAGAGAGATGGTGCTGATAAAGAAAAGATGAACCAGTTTGGAAGCCAAGTTACTGCAGCCCCGTGTCAGACAGCCTCAAAGTTCTTGCAAGGAGGGTGAAGGCTTTATTCAACACTAGTAACTTATCAAAACTTATGCCAAATGGGAATTGAGGCCAGGGTGAAAAAGGATATAAAAATAAAAGCTGTCTCAGGTCCTTGAGACGTATGGATGTGAGTGTACACAGGGTGGTGAGTTTGGAGCTACATTTTACTCTCGTTTCAGCCCCGAAACAATAGAAACATTACACATTTAAAAAGAAAGAATGGGAAACAACAATGATGAGACTGAGAACATGCAGTTAAACACACACTGATAGAAGAAAGAAAAAAAAACAACAACCACAATTGATTCAGAGGGTGGGGAGGGGAGGAGGGAAGAGATAGGGTCTCACAGACAATCATTAAACGGAGTGAGTGCCTGAAATCAGCTGCTACAGCAAAGTGCAACACAAGCACTTAAAGGAAAAAATTGCCAGAACCAATCAGAAACCACCAGTCAGCAAAGAGACCAACAGCTACATTTAACTGAGTAAAAAAAAATAAATCAGGGAAGAGGGGAGAGAGAGAAACAAAAGAGAGAAAACAAACAGCAACAGCTACAAACAGTCTCAGAAAGAGAGAGCAGCAGAAAGAAGGGACAGGAAAGAGAGGAGAAAATGGGTGCATTAATAAAAACCAGCCAAACTGGAGTTCAGTAACTCTGAGTAAGATGTGCAAGGGGAAATCACCATGAAGTCAGTAATCAAACAGCTCAGACTGCTACAAAACGATATGTACATCCAAAGTCCAGGCGGCATTACTCAACAGCATTGAAAATAAAGGGGAGAAGGGGGAAGGAGGTGGGTGGGGACAACAAGTCAAATCACATTTTGTAGTGTTAATGTGAGATGGCAGATGGATTTTTTTCTTTCTTATTTAATTTTGTTTGTTTGTGATTTTAAGAAATTTTTTTTAAAAAAAGCTTCTTCTCTAGTGCTTTTGTTTCACTTACCGCCAACTCGTACCATCGCCAGCATTGTGTATAGTTACCATGGAAAGAGTGAGTCAAGTGAAGGGCCCTAAACGCTAAACCATTGAAAAGGGAAAAAAAAAAAAAAAAAAAAAAAGGCAAAATATGCAGACATCTTACTCAAAAGTGGTGGCTTTTTTGTTTTAATAGTTGTACTTTTTTTCATTTTTTTGTTTGTTTAAAGAAAGGAGGAGAGAGGGAAGATGCCAGTTAGCCTTCAACACAGTGGAACACCAAACTGGTAAACACCAGGCATGCCTGATATACGGCCATGTTGGCCAGCCAACATTAACTCTTCACTCCCCTGCTAGTGAAAGCTAAAAACTTTAAGGATTAGCTTTCACCAAGCTGACTCTTGACCATGGGCACGTCAAGAAACCAGCGGCATGTACAGCACAGCCTACCTGGGGCTTCTGCCCCATGTCTGCCCTCCCTCCCACCACAGGCATCATCTCACACTTGGGTGGAGGAGAACTGGCCTCAGAGGAAAGAGAGGATACTGGTTGGCCCCCTGCTTTCTTTTTTTGGACACAGAGTTAGAAGTCAGACAGTACTCTCAGTTAGTTTTGTTCAGGCCTAGTAACAGGAAATCAGAGCCTCGCAAACTGAAGCAAAGTAAAAATCAAAACAGCAGAAGGGCAAAAATTTGGAGTGCATAGGAAAAAAACAGTAAAAGAAGAAAGAAAAAAAATACACAAAACAATAATAAAAATATTCTGCAAGGGGTGTAAATTTTTATACATTTCAGTGTGCGGGGAGGTGAAGGACACAGACACAAACACACACACACACGAGACTGGGATTTAAATGTGAAATAAGTGAGGCAAGACATAAAAAGAAATCAAAAGAATAAATATAAAGAAGAAATTGAATTACTGAAGACATGCACCTCGATTTTACGGCCCTCTACCACGGTGCCGTGTAATTTCTCCCTGGCCCTGTCTGCATCAGCACTATTCTCGAAAGTTACGAACCCGAATCCCTGCATGCAGCGGGAGAAGGGGGGAAAACATGCACATCGTTATATATTGAAATATTGATCTCTAGGTAAATAGAGAAAAAATATCACAGTATGAAATTGACATCAGCACAACTCAGCAATAACCTCCTAGAGTCACATTGTTGGTTCATGCATGTTTCATAAATGAAAGAAATTAAATTTGATAAAGGAACTATAATCATAATAAGAATAATAAGACTAATTAAAAAAAAGAAAACATCGAAGCAATTGAGGCCAGACCAAAAAAGATGTACAAAGTTACTCGAGACAATTATTTGTTTTGTGAGTTTGTTTAAAACCTAAACCCTACTCTGACATAGGCAAGCTGGTCAAGCCCAAGTGGGGCTTCTCTCCCCTCTGCTGATTAATACACATGCTTTGCAGGACCCCCCGCCCACCCCAAACACAGTACAGGACATCGACACTGAGCAGCACTTCGTTCTCTTGAGAAACCGCTACGAGAGCAAGCAGCGATCTGAGTTCATGCCTGGCATCAGGAATTCTGCGAAGCTTTGGGCAAATCAAACACTGAACCTTGCTTTTCCCACCTGTAAAATGGAGACAGTAATAATTACCTACCTTAGAAAACTGTTGAGAGGAAAGGCTGTTTGTAAAGCATCCCTTGTAAGTTCTTCAGGGCACAGCTCATGTCTACTCCTATGTCTGTAACTTCCCTAATAATGCATGGGGCCCTGAAATTAAGCAGGGCTTCTAGGTGGCACCATCAAATAAACATTATTTAATGTGAAGATTTAGAGTATCACATACTTTTAATTTCATAATTTTCTGTTAAGTATTGTGTTGGACTTGGTATGTAGGTGTTTAGATTCACACTCAATTCATTGGTAAACGTAGGTTTTGTCATACAGTGCTAACCCACTGCTACCCATCTTACTTGGCTTTGTTCTGAGATGGCAACTCTGCACCATGGACAGCAACAAACGCCTGCCTAATTGGACCATGAAGTCTGAGAAAAATTGACGTGCCCTGCTTGGTGTCTCTAAAGGCACATGCAACATGCCTGTACTACATGCTTGTACTGCTGCCAACTCATGCAGTTGCATAACAGGTCAGGGTAAGAGATCATGCTTCCTTCAATGGAGATGAGTGCACTGAATACAGAGTCAAATGTGACCAAGTGAATTAGGATTTTAGCTAGTAACAAATGGTATCTTACTACAACTGCGATGAGATATTCTTCATGCCATTACAGAGAGTGGGGCCAAACAAAAAAACTTTGTTGCCTTCTGATTTTAGGGTATCTTAAGAACTGGAGTAATTGGCTCCTGTGGTTTGGTATAAAGCAAATACTGATTTAATGTACAGAGAGTAATCTCTGCTGGCTTTGACACTTTCAGGAGCAGAAAAACAAAGCTTGCATTTGATGCAATGGAAACTCCAGATATTAACTGGAGAGTGAGGTGATGTACCTTGATAGGGAAATGGCATGCTAGCCTCGTGGCCCCCTCCATGCAGCCTGAGGTCAATATGTATGGACTGGACCCAAAGAAAAAAAGTAGCATCTTGATTTCTAAGCACTGTTAGCAACAAGACACAAACCATCATTCTTCAAGGTCTTTACAATACTAATCTTAAAAAGCCCAAGCCATTTGCACATGCTGTCCTTTATCATCCACAGCTAGTTTCTAGCACAAAACTGATACAGATTTGTAAAACACAGGTTTGGGGTGGTGGTTTTTTTTTTTGTTTGTTTGTTTTTTTAAACTTTTTTTCCCCTGAATAGCAGTAATAAAATAACTTAGCTGAGTACTGCAATGTTGAGATCAACAAGAGTGCTCCTTTGGGCTCCAACCTAATAATCTAAGGCTTCAGAAAATTTCATTTCTCCAGCTATAAATAAAAAGCTATATAAATAACAAACTGATGCCTTTTTCAGAAAATCATAAAAGTTTTCTGTTTAAATGAGTTAAATTTGAGCTACAAGAGATGTGGGCTAATAAAACAGGCCAATCGTATATAACTCTCAAATATGTTGCAGGGAATCGGGGGGTGGGGGGGATATGCAGGGGATATAACAGCAAAGCTGATTATGAAGGGAAAGGGTATCATGTCTGCTTCAAAGAACCCCTAAAGAGAAAGGTAAGACTAAGAGCAACACCTTTCCCTCTGGTTCTATATAATGGGGAAAAATATATAATGGGGAAAAAAACATCTTTTAAAGGTTGGGGGAGGAGGAGAGGTAAAGACTGCAACAGGAATCTATTTCCCTCTTCTCTTTTTACATTAAAATTTGTTTGATCTAGACACGCCTGTGGAGACCGAATGAAAGTTAGGTCTTCGGTGATGATGTGAACTGAAAGCTGGAGAGCAGAGGGAAGGTAATTTTTTAGACATTAATCTGTGCAGGCTAGATCCAAATGAAGACTATTTTAATTCACATTTGTTTGCAATTACTGAACTCTGCATGGGATTTTAAAAACCACATTATCCTTAAATATCTTTAAATTGATAAGGAATTTTCAATCTTTTTAATAAATTAGCTCCAGGGTAGGGTACAATACACATGCAGACTATATGAAAATAATTAACAATGTGAATTACAACAGAATCAATCTAACTCTGAACAACATAGCTAATTAACCACAATTTTTGTTATATTGACAGATCAGTCCTTAGCTTGTGCAACTCTCTTTGTCGAGAACCATTTAATGTCAACGCTGAATTAATACTTTATATAGGTGACTATGTCAGTATTGGTGCCCCCCTTTGGTTTGTTGTCTTAATACATCTCTCAGACATTCAAATTTTCATCAGGAAAATAGGTGAGCCACGCTTGACATTTTTGTTATATCTAAGTTTAAAACCTAACAATTATATACACATATTTTTGATGTGGCAGAGAAAAAAAAGCACATACATATATTTTAAATTCCTTCTCACAGATGACCTGTAAAGAATAGGGATTAATTTGTACCTAAAGACATACACCAAAATTCTCAGTGTTTCCCTCCCAAGGTCATCCTGCCCTTGAAATAAAAAAAAAAAATTAAAAAAGATGACAGATGTCCAATATTTACTAGCTTAGCTTTACAGCAGGTACTGGTTTGCTCCATAGTAGTAGGTATGAAGCCACAGGAAGAGAAGATACAATCCTGGCTAAAAAAATACTTAAGGTTCCTAAACTTTAGATTATAGAAATAGCTTGCATTTAATCATGCTGTTATAACAAGGCTGAAATTTTCAACAGTTCTTCTCCACCAGCTGCTACCAGGAACTTCTCCCAACCAGAAATTAAGTTTAAGTCCCAGTGTACTCAGCGACACTGAATAACCCCAGCAAACATTTTAAGGACTGGTGAGTAATTTGCAGTGCCAGACTAATTGCTTTTTACCCAAAGGTTTATTCAAAGGGCCTGAAGCAACCGAGTAACTGCCACCCTTTTAGTCTGGCCTCAGACTCTGCAATAAATAACAAGCAACATGATGAGCAGTAAAAAAACAAATAAATGTGTGTATATATATATATATATATATAGTATTTGAATGTTTCCATCTCTGAAGAATGAGAAAGAAAATTTACCATGTAACCGTAAAGGGAGAAATCAAAAGCAGACGGTTCTCCTGGGTGTGGCCAGAACACAGAAATTAAACAAAAAAACAACAAAAAAAAGTAAAATAAAAAAAAGCAAAGAAAAATCAAAGGAAACTGAACAGAGCCCCTTGAAATCCATGCATTGTTAACCCTTCATTTGTCACGGAACTTAGACCAGTCACCTCAGCAGCAGCGTCTTTGCCTTGTACCACTGGAGCACACAGCCAGCAACCAGCCTTGCTGTCATCTGCTGCTGTGCTTGTTTTAATCAAGTTTTTGCTTCCCACCCCACCTTCATAATAAACAAACTTTTAGGAGCCTGAAAAAATGGCCAAGGAGACAGCAGTTCAGGCTACCTGTTTCCAAGGCATTTGGAGAGAGTAGGAGGGTTTCAGTTATAATCCACCTGGGATGAACAGGACTGAATGCACCGACAGAAACACAGCATGAAATTCAGAAACACTTTACTGAAGTTAAACACGCAAACACACATTTAAACTGGTGATGGAATTGGCATAAACCAAGCTGCCACCATTTCACCAGCTCTTCCAGCCCCTCCCTGCCCCCACCCAGCACTCTGAGTGCATTAGGGGACATATGCATAAAGCACCCATGCGTGTACCTGGGCAAGCTGGTGAATTGGATGCAGGAATTTATCTGTCTAAAAAACTAAAAGATGTGTCTTCAGAAAAACCTGCAGGGCTATTTTTAAGCCAGATCATTTACCCCATCCAGCTTGTTGTGTTGCTCCACTGACAATCCCTCCTGCAAAACCAAGGACGGGAGAGGATGGGAGCTCACAGCAAAAGCCCAGCCAGAACTGCTGTGCAGAGAGAGCTTAAGGCTTCAGAGCAGCTACACACAACTTGGGCCAGGAGCTTCACGGCCCCATGCTGTCCCCAGTTGTGTGCTCCTCCTCCTGCCCTTGACTGATCGTGGATCTTATTGTGTGGCCTGTGAGTTCAACTAGCTAAACTGGCAGACTCCCTACCCAGTGAAATGAGCACTGCTGGGAAGGTGCTCTCACAGGAGTGGTAAATCAGCTTACACTGTCAAGTCATCAACTTCAGTCTTAATTATTCACATTTAAATAAACCAGTTCAGTGTATGGACTAATTTAACTCATTAGTTGAGTACTGCAGAGTTGAAGGCATAAAACTGTATTTCACTGAACTAGGATGAAGGGACACTGGTCATGTCTCCATCATGCCATTGGCATTATAAAGGGATTTGGTGACCTGAGGAAGCAACGCTGGTCACTGATACTTAGTATGTTATTAAGCCTCCTTGTGTTAATAACGCTATTTGTATTCCTGGCTCAACTGATGACATCTGAACAAAAAATATAAAAACAGAACTAAAAGGAAAACAAGACCTCTAATTTATTTTATGCAGTTGGGATCTGTATCTGTTTCACTGAGTGAAAACTAAGTCCAGAACAAGAATGCCTCAACCCAAAGCATTTAATCTATTCAGAGAAGAAATAAATGCTCATGCAAACGTACAGCCTTTTAGCCACAATTATCAAAATCTTAACCTACAGTTAACTGCAAACATAAAAGACCTCTAAGTGTTTCCACACAGCTTTCTGCACAAGGTTTTAGTTAGCACAGGTTTACTTGGAGAACTCCAGTCACCAATAGATGCAATTTCTTTGTGAATACAAGATTTAAGCTACTATACAACCAATTATTTAATTAAATACAAAGTGCTTCTAGACACTTCAGAGACACTCCAAGAACTTGGAGATCCACCTCTCCCAAGCAGAAGGCAGTGAGGGACGTAACCTTACGCTATGAACTCTTCTATAATTTAAAAATCTAAAAAAAAAAAATATATATATATTTTTTTTTAATTGTAAAAAAAGCTCCCACTTCAGCCAAGATTTTGCTGTGTGCTTATGCACTTGGTCTCTGAATGTCATCGAGGGAACATCTTGGAATGCCACACAGTACACAGCTGATGAGCAAAGAGCCTGGATTCCCTTCCCCTACAGCTTTACAAATGCCACAGGGTACTTGTTACGCAGGCAGACTGCATTAATTCTGCAAATATGTCCACTTGTTTGGTTCAGCACAATAGTGCCAAAATATGCATATAGAGGATGCATCTCCACTAACAAAAGGAGCAGGAATCCTCTCTCTCTACTTCCTCTGGAGGCATTTTATTCACGGTTCAGTGAAGCACATAGTAAACTGCAACCATGAGCAGAATGCTATTTAAAGGCACTTATACAGGTCAGAACTAGAAATATAATGGTAAATAGGATAAATGAAACAAACAGCTAGTTTCCTGGAAGCAAGCAAAAAAACCAAACATATCAAGGGATGACTAACGTCATTCTATTAAACATGAATGGAACAAAATTAAATTCAAGGGATGTTTCAAGTCTGCATCTCTCATACATAGCAAAGCAGTATGAATGTGAAGTCACCAGGGCCTACATAATCCTACTAAACAGATTGGATCTGGGCAGAAATCAAGTTGGGAAACAAGAATTCAAATTGATTCGAATCAGCAAAACTGATTATTAACTACCTTCTTGTCTGCTGTGATACAAGTCAACAAACAACATAATCCTAAACCAAATGCAAGAACCTGAGGTGCAAGGTGTCCGTGATGGACACATGGACACACTGCTCTCTCTTTCGTCACCAAAATTTCTAAATAGATCCTGAAGATGCAGCCACAGTTTGATATAGTTCCCCCCAGGCTGTCGAAGAAAACTGCCTGGTCATCTCAGGTGGATTCAAAAGAAATATTTCAACCCACATGCTTCCTCCACTCCCTCCTACTGACCAGCACTGGAGCGATCCCATCAGAGATCTTTCACCACAGCTCGGCAGGGACAAAGCGCTGCTCAACCCCATCATACACTGGGTGGGGGCAAACCCAGGGCAGTTCAGGATTTACCACTGTACTTTTAAAATATTTACAAAACGTATACACAGAACTCTACAACCCGGGGAAGGGGAAGGGAGCATTGAGAACACAGCACAAGGCAGGCAGCAGGAGCTTCTGCTTTCGGATTCCCAAGAGAGAGGAGGAGGAAAAGAGAGAGAGGTTTCATATCATTAGATTAGAATGGAAACCACAGTGCAGGAAAATGCATTCAGATTTTTTTTTCCTGAAGTGGAGGAAGACCCCAAGAGTGAGTGAGTGGCCTCCAGAAAGATCCATTTCCTTTGTTTCACCATCAGATCACCAAACTGTTGTTTTTCCATTATTATGTGAATACCAGGTGCTTCGTGCAGCTACACCCCACTCAAACACTGGGGCCTCCCATTTTCATGCTAAGCAGGAATAATCTTGCATTCTTTTTAAAACAGTAATTATTTTGTGTAGAGAAGGATGCAAAGATACCACAAAATTACTATTTGAGTGTTTTCTCATTCTGTTCAGATTCTGCCACATCACTCATACAGGCTACCAGTTTTGCAATACTTTTTCTGTAAGATGATAAAAAAGCAGTAGAAAACTGCATGGTCAAGGACTGGAAGAACATTTATTTGGATCACATTCTTTTTTCATATATTTATTAAGGGTTGAGGATAAAATTCATCAAGGAACTCTTCAGCAATATTTTTTGTTTTAACTGAAAACCAGAAGCCTTGGGCTTTAACAATTGCATAAGAAGGTATTTTTCATAATCATAAATCAAGTCTTCACAGAAAGCCTCCAACACTAGTGTGGCCTAAAAGGAAAGGGCAGCCGTGGACATTTAATACAGGGCTGTACGGATGGAAGAGAGAGAGCAAAGTTCATGTGTGCAGAGGAAAACTGTTCTGGGAAGCACAGGCAGTAGGGGTGAAGGGCAGAGCTCAACACTTGCCAAGGCCAGTTATTTTTGTTCTTTCTTTTGCAATTACATCCAAACAAGTAGGGATTTGATAGAGGCCAGGAGGCTATTCCCAAAGCCAAACAGAAATTACTAAAATCAGGACTAATTCACAGATAGCTCTGGCCTATAAATATCAGAAGAAGAGCAGAGAGCAGAATAAATATTTACAAACTCAGCATAGCTGATTGTTTTGGTAAAGCATATAGATTTTTATCCACACAGGGAAGTAAAACTCCCTAAGCAAGCCATATAGACATTTACTTGTTCAGACTGTCTTATTTAAAGAAAAACAACAACCAACCAATAAACATGGTATTAAACACAAATAAACAATTGGGAAAGGGCTAAAACTAATTTCTTTTGTATACAGATCAACAGCTTTCTGGTTTCCAGGTAATACAGAGACTGAAGAATTTCAGAATGCATCTTGGGCAACATGGGTTGAAATTTACAAAAGGCTCTGAACATACCCCAGAATACATGTGAAGCAAAGAGGCCACTTTAAGACTGTGAACCTCAAATCCAAGCAAAAGGCATAGACTCTAGACAAAGACTGCTTAGCTGAATTGCAACTTTGAAATCTCTTGTGTGCATGCACACATGTGCACACACGTGTGTGGGGGGGAAGGAGGGAAATTTTGTTTTAATTGAAAATGGGAATCTTAGCATTGATTAAGTCAAGCAGAGTATAGACATGCACTGTGCAAAAGCTTCCCCCATAGAGCTTTGGCAATGCACCTCGCTCCTGACCTGCAAAACTCCCTGCTATTCCAGTGCTGAACCTCCTGGGCAGAGAGAGAATCACATCAATTTGTCATTGTGGTGATACTGGTTATGTGATGAGAACCAATTGCCAATTATGACAAAGATCACTGAATCTCTCTGCAGCTGACCTGAGCAACATTTGAAATCCCATCTCCAGAGAAATAAATTACCATTAACCCTCAATAAAACCTCCCTCTAAACATATCTGTAAGATGAAAATAGGTGTGTAAATGCAAGTTCAGTGGGGAGAGATCCACATGGGGCAGGGCAAGTGGAATGAGGATGCTTATATTAAGCATCAAATATCTCAAACATGAAAGGTCAGTATCTCAGAAATGCCAAGTCTGCAAAATAGAGTAAATAAAATCCTTTCACGTATGAGATATGACAGTTTTTCAATGCAATGAAAATGCAGTTGCGGGGGTGGGTGGGTTATGCTTTGTTCTTAGAGTCTCCCATCACACAAAGCTAGTTTACCTTATCCTGCCTTCCCCACAGGGCGCCTGTTGCTAGTGCAATGGGAACAGGTTGGTATGAAGGCTCAAGTGACTGACTCCCTGTTTGTTCAAAAGGCTGGGGAACCTGATCTCACATTATAGACGGGAGTGTCTAGAAGCATTTGTACATGCTACCCAGAAATGACCATGCTCAGAATCTGGAGTCAGAGGGAACAGGAGACAGTTCCCAAAATAGCTTTTCCCTTCCCCCATTACACTAATTCCTGCTGATCTCTACAGAGTATTCTCTAGGCAATGAACTGCCTTTTACTCTGCAATCAAAACAAGACAAGCAGGTACAGGAACAGGACTTACCTTCGAGCCACGCTCATTAAAGATTATCTCTACATCAAGGATTTTGCCGAATTGCTGCAAAGAGACAAGGGGGGAAAAAATATTTACTTTTGGCAATGCATTTTTCCTACCTTTTGGGGGCTGGCTTAGTGCAAGAAGGCAGGTGAGAATATTTCCATTTCAATAACACAGGCAAAGGCATAAAATCCCAGTGACATGACATCTCTCAGGTTAGGACATGTGGATCCGATCCTCTTGGTCATAATCCTAGGTTTTCTCACAGAAGTCTAAAGGAAGAAGAACAATCTCCAGAAGAGTTTTAGGGATTTAAGGTAGCTTTTATTTTCCCCCTTTAATCTAAACAATTCTTCCTTCCCTCATTCTACTATTTCATCTTAGACATAGGTATATGATTTCACCTCAGACCTCTAACATTTCTCAAATGTAATTCAGCATCTCATCTTCCTCCTGAAGTGATTATCACAGAGAGAAATATAACAGTGATGATGTTTTTCTGGAGGGGATACTCAAATAAGACTCCCAACCTCAGGGCTTCCAAACCCTAATTCTCCCCCAATCTCCCTCTTTCACAAACTTTAAGCCTTCAAAAGAATTGACGGCAAATTCAGAAGCCATGAAAATGGCTAACCCCCAACAAATCATTCAACTTCAACCTGTGACATACATCAGGCTGTTGATAACCTATGCAACTTTATCCCATATGATACTATCCTGACCTCTGCCTCTGCCTGGAGGCCCCGAGGAGAGCAGGGCCCCACTACACCACGCTGTTCCAACAGCTGGTTCCAAAGAGATCCTTACTTAGCACAGAGCAAAAATGGGAAATGAGAGCTACAAGCTAGAAAGGAGATTTACCACGCTCTGTGGAACCATATATGGATCACATCCCTTACCTTAGAACATGTTAAAATATTTTTATTGAACTGACCAGATTCAAGTCAGTAACCTATAGATAAAAGCATCACCACTTCACCAAGCGCCCTGCAATGCTCTGTCCTCTAGAAGTGTCAGTGTTGTATCTCCAAAATGGAGGTCTGCTTTCCAGAAGGACAGGAATAAGATCTCATTTCATGAGCATATATATAGAGCAGTCTTTATTCTAAAGACGCAGATTATGCTCAGACAAATGCTATATCTGAGTGGTTTTCCTATCCCATTATTTATGAAAGCTTCCATCAACATGGTTTGATCTCACTGCATGCAGACGACTTAAAAGGTGGTATAACAAATGAAGGAAGGGTCAAGAAGAAAAGAGGATGGTTTTACAGTTATGAAAGATGACCACCACAGCCTCTGGGCACTAGGACTCTCCCCACTCTGCCACAGTGCTCTTAGTACTTGCCTTTTTTTTTTTTTGTAATTAACATTTTCATTCAGAGTCAAATGGTTATAACGCTCATTTTGTGGGTGCCCCACTTAAAGACCTGTGACCAGATCTGCAAACAAATGTAGAATTTACAACACTAAGCCATGATGGCTGAGGAGAAGCTCTGAATATGTAAAGCAATAAAAAGTTATGAAGTCCCTAGAACAAGTATTTCACAACTGTCTTTAAGCAAACAAAACGCTTCCAACAATTTTAGCTATAGTTTCTGTCTGCTTCCATTCTCCATTCTTAAAAAAGGAGATAGTTGTATTCTTTTACAAATGTTGGTTCACAGATGTTGTTTTTACTGTTCTGTTGTTTAAGGACAATACTTGATCTTCTATTCATCCCAAGAACAATTGAATTCACAACATCCCATGTTACACAAAGTTTGAATAACGCTAAAGTAAACATGCATCTTCCTTGAAACCTCAACATCTCAGCAGCTTAGGCTTGATCCATGCTGGATCCTCTTTTGACCACTGCTGTGCTAATCACAGCTAAAATGCATTTTCTATTTCTATCCCACACTTGGTGGGGCTTGTCTATAAAGGAGATTAGCTGTCAATTGCTTTTTGCTGTCTTTGTTGCATATGGCTTGGGCACTGCCATGAAAGAAATCGGTCATGATTGCTTTCTTAGTAGACTATTGCAGTGTTGTTACACAGCAGGGGCTGAACCTATTTAATAGCTCATGGCTGCTGAAGGGCTGTCCCTGCTCCCTTGTCCTTCCTTGTTTGGTCTCACCAGCTTCCTGAAGCTGGCCCCAGTTTTCATTCTCACCTGTAACTGATACAGCTCACCAATCCTGTAAAAAAACTAGCCCAACATAAGGAACAAAGTTTTTGACAATTTACTGACCTGAAGTGGCTCAAAGGGTCATGTGAGCATTAGGACTCCAAGAAGCAAAAAGAAGTGGAAAGCAGCACACCCTGCCCGAGGGCAGGATCTGTCCCTGCCAGAGATGAGCTCAGCTGCCTAGCCTTGCCACACACACTGCAACAGCCAGGCTCTCAATAAATGCAAATGCCAGGATTATTTTCAGAATCTTCAAAGCCATCAAAAAAAAAAATAATTATGCCATGCCATCTTCCCCTTTCTCCACACCCAGCTGGGCCTGGATCCTAGGGTATTACTGCCTGCCAGCCCTGCTCAGCTGAGCTCACCAGGCAGTTTCCACACCAACAGGAAATCCTGTCTTGTGTGTTTAATTTCTTGCAGCTGACAAAAAGCTCACGGTAACACTGAATGTAAACGATCTGACCTAGCTCCATGAGAGGTGTCAAGGCTGCCTCTCTGCCCTGTAGATGATGGAGGTATGTCATTTCCCAGATGATAGAATCATGTGGTTGCAGTGAGCACAAGTTTGATGTCTTCTGCCATGGGCTACATCCACCCATGCAAACTGTCCCAATCTCTTTTCTACCTAGCAGTTGTGGGTGTTTGAAGAGGCAGGAGGGAAGGACCTGTTTGGGAGAGAAGGAACAGAGACAACAGGGGCTAACTACTGAACTGAGGGTTGCTGGGGAGGGGTTTCCTGCTCTGTGAAACTCCCTGTAAGCAAGCAGCACAGCCTCGAGGTAAGAGGACATGTGCTGGGCTCTTCAACACTACTGAGACCATTGCCACAGCTGCTCTGGACAGGTGCTAACACCACAGCTCTTGTCCTCACTGCTTGCAACAGTTATAGCAGGTCCAGCACTAGAGGCAATTTATTTTTTTTTGTAGCATGCCAGAATTTTCCTGAAGCATGAAAGCAGGAAAAAAGAACTAGTTCATTTTAATAGTTTATATCTCCTTCAAAGTTGAATCTAATTTAGTGGAACATAAAAAGGCACTTTGTTCTCTGATGATGCTTCCATACAAATGTTAACAGCCTACTGCAAACAATGGAAGTTTTAAGGTCAGAATTTTTGCCTGGAAAATGCTAGGCCATCTAAATACAAGGGCCAACACCAAATGCCCCCATAGTAATTTTTTAAAATCATGTATACAGGCACGTTTGTATTTTCCAGCAGACAGAGGGTCTGGCCAAATAAAACAAGATCCATGCTTAAGCCATCCATGAAGACTAACCCTCCTCTAATCTCTGACCTTGAAGACAGGAGTCACTGTTATCACAGACCTGATTCGTTCACTCAATGATTAACAAGAACATCTACTTACAACCCTGCACAGCAACAGGGGGAAAAAAATCCTCAGCACAGTTCACAGCCTCTGAAGAAGGCATTGCAGGACTACGCATCTCAAATGCTCAGGTCTGACAAGAAGCCTCCTCCACGAACTGCTCATGCATACACCATGTGATGGCTAGGTATACACACTCCCAGTCATGTCATAGCATAGGAGCTACAGCATCTTGTCTATATTAGTCCTCCATTCCCTGGAGTGACCTTGTACCACCTTTTAGTTATTTTTCTGTAAAGCAGGTAAATGAGAATCATCGCCTCTGCAGTGGTAGCAAGGGCTGTTGGAAATAACAGTTTTAAGAGGCATAAAGGTACCAGCAGACATCAGCTATTGACCAGAACCCAGTTTTCTTGCTTGAATATGATGTACCTTATCATAGAGGCAAGGATGTTGTACAAGGAAGGGGATATGCATGCTGTGTGTTTCTTTCCACCCAGAAGACATAAAGGCAGCAGATTTTTCCAGCAGAGGCCATAACTACATTATATATAACAAAATGGAGAGAACTGGCACCAGAGAGTTTTTGCCTTCCAAGGCACTGGCAGTTTGGTAGGGCCCCTCCTGTATGCTCTGTTACAGCTGGCCCCGCCTCGTCTCCCTGTCTAGAGCTTTCAAAATCAGCTCTAAAATGCCCCAGACAAATAACCTTAAAGATGCAAACAACAGGAAATCCTCTAGAAATCATGGAACAACAAAAGGTAACATGAGCCACCATTCAGCAACATCACATCCCTACAAGAGAACTGTATGCCCAAGCAGCTTTGCATCAGCTCTATAAAATTCACTTAAGACATGAGCACAGTGAAATAACTAAACCTCAAAGTGCCGAACAGTCCATTCTCAAACATGGTAGAAATTCAAATTAGCCAGGAAACCAACCCCCTACGCAGGAAACCATTCCAGGCCCTCAGGCACGAGATGCATACACATGAGCATTTTACATGCAGGTTAAGTCCCTGCTGCAGAGAGAGTCCTTACACTATCTCCCAGCTCTAGGAGAAAATACCTTCAGCTGAGAACAGCTGGCTCCATTGTAGCATGTATTAGTGCCTAGTTACAGCAACATGGAGTCTGCTAGAGCCACACTGCTATCAGCACAGGAACTTCCTCATCCTAAAGCTGGGTCACATCTTTTCAAAATAGTGGAGCCAACCCTGTTCAGCCAAGCAAGACCAGTATGCTTTGCTGACAGGAAGATGGAAGCATCAAGGATTTATAAACCAAAGCACTACTACAGTTTACCAACTGAACAGACAGTAAGCCAGCAAGCCCTTATTAGGATTGACCTGTTGCCCAGCAAAACACAAATTTTCTAAGAAACCAGACTTTAAAAGGAAACCAACACAAAGAGTACAGATTTCTAACTGGATTTACAGAACGCAGCCATCCCAGCAAAGTTATGAGGAACATAGTTTCTCAATCATTTGTTATCCTCTGACACACAAATAAAAGATTTTCACATGAAACAGTGAGATGGGTGTGAACAGTACCACAGGGA